GATCGATTTAGGATCCAACTGAATCGATTAGGAGCTATGCTGAATCAATACCTTGATTTCAAGTTGTTACGGAAGCTACCCTGTACAAGAGGATTGATGACCTCACTCACCATGTGAAATCGCTAGAAGATCTGCACTCTCAAGACATTGCTGCCCTAAAAAGGAGGAAATATGCTTTTGAGGAAGAGCAGCCAAGACAGAAGTATGATATCCTTCATGGATCCATCGATGCCAAGGCTGCTAAGCTAGAGATCAAGGAGTCCAATGAAATCGCTTCATGGTACAGAGGAAAGACAGATGGTGAACTTCAAGAGATTGAATTTCGTCTGAGCAAGCTTGAGCACAAGAGCATGGAAACCAGTTCTGACATCAAGCATCTCTCTAGGTGCCAAAGAGACACCAACCTTGTTGTGAGGAAGATCTTTGAGAATCATGAGAAGGATTTTCTTGTTCATGGTCAACAAAAAGAAGAAAGACCAACCAATTCTGATGCAGGAGATCCCACAATGGACACCCAGAATAATCCTGAAGACATCCTGGAAGATCAAGAAGGAGAAGCAGCTAAGCAGCCTTCAGAGTTCCTTACCGCGGCCGCGAGGACTTCACCCGCGGCCGAGCCCATCCTCACCGTGGTCGCGAGAGTTTCACCTGCGGCCAGACCCTTCTGAGCCGTGGATGCGACGTCTCCACCTGCGGGAAACCACCATCTCACTCCAAGTCTGCATCACCGAGACCCTGACGAACCTGAGGAGAATGACTCTTACATCCCATGCATGAAGATCAAAGAAGAAGAACCAGATGTCATAGATGTGGAGGATGAATCACCTGAGAAGATTGAAATGCCATACATAGATTCAATCATTAAGTTTGATTCTGCAAAGTTCTATTGTGATTCTTATACTGCATTTGAGGCACTAGATCATCCACAGGAAAGACCAGTTCGAATTCTGCAAAAAGTTCAAGACAAATGTCAATTTCTTATCTCTTGTGACATTAGAGGTGAAAGATTCTTCAATATTCTTTGTGATTCTGGAGCTTGCATTAACATGATGTCCAAAGCAACTGCTTTGTGACTTGGTATTAAGCACATCTCAAGTACCAGGGCAAAGATCAGCTTAGCAGATGATTCAAGTGCAACACCAAGAGGGATAGCCCGAGACATTCCTCTAAGGATTGGAGATTGCATTACACCTGTCGATTTATACATAGTGAAGACCAAAGATGACTCTTATCCAGTCATTCTTGGATGGCCTTTCTTAGCAACTGCTGGAGCCATCATGGATTGGCCCAACAGACGAGTTTCTTTTGCCAATATCGACAAGGACATCTTCTATGAAGCTACACCACTTAAGAGCAAAAGAGGACAGCAAATAGTCCAAGCATTTGAACCAGAAGAACTCTGGAGTGATGATGAACCTGCAAGACAGAACAAGAGGATCTCGAAAAGGACTTGTCTTAGAACAAGATCCTATTTGAACTAAGTCTTTTTCTTTGCAAAAGTCTAGCTAAGGACTATAAACCAAAGCGCTTGATGGGAGGCAATCCATTTTAGGTACTTATTTGTTTTTGTTTAAGCTTTCTTTTTCTATTAAAAGTTTTGTTTTTCTTATTTTAGACAGGCCTTAGTATGCTATAAAAAAAATAGGAAAGAGAGAAGAAAAGGAGCTGACCGCGGCCAAAGGAGGTTCGGCCGCGGCCAGCAGGTGTTTTACTGCGGCCGCGATGTTCTCAATCGCGGCCAGCGCGTGTCCTACCGCGGCCGGGATGTTTTAATTCGCGGCCAGCACATCCGGCCACCTGGGCCACTTCAACTCCACATTGGCCACTTCCAATTCATCTTTGGCCACTTTCACCACTACCACCACCTTGTTCAAATCAGTTTTGGATCCCTTGCATCCAAGTTTGATCAAGCATCACCACCATAACCACCTCACAATCCATCACCACCACCAGGTAAGTTTTATTTTCCTTAAACTTTTTAAATATTTCACATACTCTATTTCTCATCCTTACCTGATTTATTTCACACTAGGGGCAGTGTGATTTAAGTCTGGGGAAGGATTTAATCCCTTTCTAACCATCTTTTCTTGGATGAGCCATTGCATTCTGCATTTTCTTTAAAATGTTTCAATTTTTTCGATTTTCTTAAACCTTTTCAAAGTCTTTGGAGTTTCAAAAAGTGTTTTCAAATATCAAAAACATTTTGAGGGAATGATGACAAAATCAAATGATGATAGCCAACCTGTTTGCTTCTACACCAATCACTCATAAAAGCTCTTTCATGGTTTAGTACTAGACTAGGTGGTAGCTAGAGTACTTACACTACTAAATCCCACCAGAGGACTTCTATTCACGAAGATCTTTTCTGCCAGGATATACTAGCTCATTTTACTTGGACTTAATCTTGACATCTAATTTTCTCATCATTGGTTTTAAGAAGGCATCATGATATACATCCAGGACATCTTTTCCTTATTGATACCACTCTTTGTTGTCCTAGATGGCCAGTTCATCTTTAGCTGGTAGCATACCCTTAACCGAAACCTTTATGTTCAAACCTCATGCATTCTCTCTTAAGTTTATATCGACAGATATGTGCAAAAATGCCGGAGAGGGAGGAACAACATTGTTTTCAGTCACTCACGAGAAAGACTGAAAGAGACCAGAAGGGAGTGTGCCAGAAATCTTATGATGCCTCAGAAAAACTCATTTTTTTAGGGTAATTTTCGTGCTCCCTAAGACTCCAAGTCAAAAGGCAGTTTCTCCTTTCTAAAAAAAAAAACGAAAAAAGAGAAAAAGAAAGAAAGAAAAGGAAACTAAAAGCCTAAAGAGGCTTAGAAGCCGAAATCACTTGAGCCAAGGCAATAGGTATTTACTTAAGGAGTTATGGATTCACAACCTGGACAAAAATCCAAGTCTGGGGGAACTATAAGGAGAACCTGAAGAAAGGAGATCAGAAATCTTGAAGCAAGAAAAGTGTGACTGAAACTGTGGGGGCATTTATCAGTTCCATCCTCTCTTGCTGTTTTGCATAATATCCTGTCTCTCCAGAAAAAGATAACCCTAAACACATCAGCCTTACCATTAAAAAGCATTTTTGATACCTAACCTTGAATGCCTTGTTTAATATCCTTTTGATGCGAACCACTGAAACCTTTAACGAATGTTAAGAGCTAGTTGACTGGAAGTTAGTTCTAAGTGTGTGGATTTTCGCATAACGGATTAACGAACTAGTTATGTTTGTATTTTGGTGACAATTTTCTAGCCTTGATCTGATTGATGCATTGTCCATAATTAAGGTCTAGAAGTATGGTTGCTGATATTTTTGAGTTCCCTCTCATTTTTGTTGAATGATATTTTTCCAGATTAGATATTGTTTTGTTTGAGGACTAACAAAGTCTTAAGTCTGGGGGAGTTGATAACACCTGATTTTGACCACTTTTCATCATTGATTTCAAATGCTTTTTCAAAGGTTTTATTTTGTTTTACGAACTTTTATTATGATTTCCATGTATCTGTAGTTTCAAAGCTCTTTTCAGGAAACTAAAGGAATATGATGGCAAAATGGAAGAAATCTACATTTTTAGCTCAGAGTCAGACCACCAGAAGTTCAGCCTCAAATAAAGACTTTCTCATCGTTGATCCAGCTCAAATTTAGAGATAATCAAGAGGAGACAACCAGCTTTCCATAGCACTTTACATCACAAAAATCCAACGGTGCAATCAAAGGATACATGGAGAACAAGTTGACCCAGTTCACCAGTCCCGGAAGACTCTCACCCGCAGGAAACACATGTTTTACCTGCCCTGGAAGACTATCACCCCCGGTGGACATTAGGACGAGCCACAAGGCCCAACATCAAAGCCCACTTCGCCATTTCTTTTCAGAGAAGCCCTAAATGAGACCTGGAAGACCTTAGGACCTATAAATACATTGTTTAGCAGCCTTAAACGGGTGTGTGCTTCTGTAAAGAGATTTTGAGCCACCAAACTCTGTTTTTCTAGGGTTAGGCCATGGAGATGGGGATTCTTCCCCAGATCCATTGTTCTTTCTCCTTTTTATCTTATTAACTTTTCTGTTTCATTCTTTTGCATTCTTCTATGTCTTTTATCATTCATTGCATCATGTAGATTAGTCCTCGAGATTCAAGTTGTTTGAAGATATCGACAAGCATATATATCGATTAGGATTTCTGTTGTTCTTAGCCATATTCTAGATCTCATCTCTTCTAAGTTATTCGTAAAGCATGAGAGTAGATTCATGACCTATTCTCTGAGCCTAGGATCGGTCAGAGCCACGAGAGTGCTGTATCAGATCGTCTATACCTTGCTTCAGAAGAACATAGTCGCTATAGGAGTCGAAAGCTACCTATAGAGAAGATGTGAGCAGACGAATTCAATGTTCAATGCATGATCTTAAGTTTAGCATGAGAGCGAGAGTTAATTGCTAGATCTAAGAGATTAGTCTATTAAGGTGACGACAGTTGTTTAATCATACATGTGTCTATTCTAGTTCAATGCAGATTCCCAGAAACAGATGAATATAAATCGCCCAGAAGCTAATTGGAAATGCCACCATAAATCAATTAGAGTAAACCGAAGAAGTCTAAATTGCCACCTATGAGTTTAAGAGTCTTTAGTTTGAGTCGATATGCTTTAGATGTTCTTTTAACAATTCATCCTGCATTGCATCTCTTGTGAATATTAGATTAGGTTTAGTTTAGGATCTTAACCAAAAACCCCAAATCTTTTATTGGTTTATGAGTTTGATTACTTCCCAGTTTGTTGTTTCTTGAAGATTAGACATCCACCTTGTGGATCGACACTCTAAGTCCTACAACGTACATCTGTGCACTTGTAGACACTAGGGTTTTATAAATTTAAAACTTAAGGAGGACCAACGGGCTTGTCAAAAAACAACCCTAGACCCGCAAGCCCATCAAGCCTAAATCGATCATTCTCGTTGTTGTGGTGCAGAATCTGATGAGGTAAGGGATGAGATGTTCGACGGTTCACCAGGTGTGGCGAATAGGGCACATCTCGGTGGTGCGGAGCTCGCGAATCTCCTTGGTGGTGGTTCGGATGAGGGTTCCGATCCAGGCTTCATTTGAGGGTGAACTTCTGACATTTTAACTCTGAGCTAAAAATGTGGATTTCTTCCATTTTGCCATTTTTTCCATAAGTTTCCTGAAAAGAGGGTTAAAACTACAAATATAGAGAAATCATAATAAAAGTTCCTAAAACTAATTAAAAACTTTGAAAAAACATTTGAAATCAATGGTGAAAATGGGTACAAATATGGTGTTATCAACTCCCCCAGACTTAGAGTTTGTTGGTCCTAAGAAAAACAAGATCAAATCTGGAAATATATCATCAACTGATATCATAGAAAACTCAAAAATATCAGCAACCATACTTCTAGACCTTAATTATGGACATTGCGTCAATCAGATCAAGTCTTCAAAATTTTCACCAAAATATAAACATCACTAATCCGTTAATCCGTCATGCGAAAATCCACGCACTTAGAACAAACTTCCAGTCAACTAGCTCTTAACATTCATTAAAGATTTCAGTGATTTTCATCAAAACAATTTTAAACAAGGCATTGAAGGCTAGGTTTCAAAAGGCTTTTTAGTGGTGAGGCTTGATGTGTTTAGAGTTACTTTTTTCTGGAGAGACAGGATATTATGCTAAACAGCAAGAGAGGATGGATCTGTTGATGTCCACAGTTTCCAGTCACATTCTTCTTGCTTTAAGTTTTCTGATCTCTTTTCTTCAGGTTCTCCTTATAACTCCCCAAGACTTGGATTTTTTCCAGGTTGTGAATCCATAACTCCTAAGTGAATACTTATTGCCTTGGCTCAAATGATTTTGGCTTCTAAGACTTTTTAGGCTTTTGGTTTCCTTTCTTTTTTTCGTTTTCTTATTTTTTATTTTTTTTGGGAAAGGGGAAACCGCCATTTCACTTAAAGTCTTAGCGAGCACAAAAATTACCTTTAAGAATGAGCTTTTTAAGGCATCATGATGTTTGTTGAGATTGCATGTTACACTTCCTTCCCGGTTTCATTCAGTCCTTCTCTTAAGTAACTGAAAACTATATTGTTCCTCCCTCTCCGTCGTTTTTGCACATATATGTCGACATAAACTTAAGAGAGAATGCATAAGGTTTGAACATTAAGGTTTGGATTAAGGGTAGGGAACCAGCTAAAGATAAACTGGCCATCTAGGACAACAAAGAGTGGTAACAATAATGTAAAGATGTCCTAAATGTATATCATGATGCCTTCTTAAAACCACTGATGAGAAAATTAGATGTCAAGAATAGGTTCAAGTAAAATGAGCTAGTATATCCTGTCAAAAAAAATCTCCATGAATAGAAGTCCTCTGGTGGGATTTTGTAGTGTAGGTATTCTAGCTACCGCCTAGTCTAGTACTAAACCTTGAAAGAGCTTTTTATGAACTGATGGTGTAGAAGCAGGCAGGTTGGTTATCATCATCGATTTTGTCATTATTCCCTAAAAATGTATTTGACATTCAAAAACACTCTTTGAAACTCAAAACACTTTTGAAAAGTTTTACGAAAAAAAAAAAAATTTAAAGAAAATACAGAATGCAAGGACTCATGCAAGAAAAGGTGGTTAGTAAGGGATGGAATCCTACCCCAGACTTAAATCACATTACCTGGTGTGAAATAAATCAGGTAAGGATGAGAAATAGAGTATGTGAAAATTTTAAAAGATGAAGGAAAAGAAAACTTACCTGGTGTTGGTGATGGATTGTGAGGTGGTTTTGAGTGCAAGGGGATTTTGATGATCTTGATTTGACAAATGAGGATGAAGAGATATGGGTTGGGAAAAAGTTCAGGAACAAGGAACACTTTAAAGTTACGTTGGCCATCTATGCGCTGAAGAAGGTAGTGACGTTCGAATTCAATAGGCATGCGAAGAAGTACACAATCGCAAAATGTCCATCAAAGATATGTGATTGGAGAATGTTGGGGCATCAAGTTGGCGAGTCTGTGTTGTATGAGGTTAGGAAGGCGTGCTTGAATCATACATGCCACCCGGACACAAGACGAAATTTTTCAAAGCATGCCACTTCTAAAGTCATGGCGGCTCTGCTGAAGTCTAAGTGCCAGAACGCAATAGTTGCGAGTGAGCTACTTCCAATTTTTCTGTCCAAATATAATATTACAGCCTCTTACTGGAAATGCTGGAAAGCTAAGGAGCTGGCTGTATACTCTGCGCACGGAAGAGAGGAGACTTCTTTCAAATTATTACCGATTTACCTCCATGTGCTCAAGTATGCCAACCCCGGCACCATAACGCATTTGTCAACTGATAGAGATGAAAAAGGTATAACAACGTTTAAGCCCGTATGTATGGCATTGTCTGCCTGTATTTCTGGATGGAAACATTTGAAACCGGTAGTTGTTGTTGATGGAACGCACCTGTTTGGTAAGTATAAGGGTTGTCTATTAACGGCCAGTGGACAAGATTCTAATTACCAGGTTTTTCCAATTGCGTTCGCCGTTGTCGATGCAGAGTCTGACCAGACATGGAGGTGGTTCTTTGAGAAGTTGGTAGACATTATTCCACATACCTGTGAGCTTACTATTATCTCGGATAGGCAAGGTGGAATTGCCAAAGCTAAAAAGGAGTGATATCCACAGGCACACCACGGTGCATGTCTGGTCTATATCGAGAGAAATGTTCACGCTAAACACAAAGGTTCCGGTCAGAAGAGTTTGGTCGGAAAGGCAGGAGAAGCATTCACAGTTTTTAACTTCAAGAGACTATATGCAAGGCTGAAGGATGTTGATTATAGATGTTGGAAGTATGATATATTCATAAATTGTATCATTTAGTGTACATATTTAAGTCCAAATCATGTCTCATTTGCATATATTTTAGGTCTTTAGGAATTGTTTTAGGACTTAGGAGATTGCATTAGGTCCGAAAGAGTTTTGCATGGTTTGGAGTGTTAAACAGGTGCTTTTGGAGCCTATTTGGAGTGGAGAACATGATTCAGATGAAGAAATGGAGTTGAAATGATCAAAAATGGTGTAGAGGAGCAATTTTGTGTCTCTCGGCAAAATGCTGTACTGATGGTCAAAGATTCTCGGCTAAAATCCATACTGCGGGTAGATCTCTTGGCCAAAACACGTACTGGCTGGTTACGTTTCTCGGCCAAAAATCTCCGATGAAGATACATCTCAGAAATCATGTTACCGGAAGCTCTTTCCGGCCAATTCCGCCTCCGAGGTCTTCACAAAAGATACAGGTTATTGAGTCTAAATTCTAGAACAGTTGGACTGAGGGCTTTTGGAGTAGTGGGCAGAAATATATGGTCACCGGAGGACAAACCTGTCCCGAACTCATTCCGGAGAAATCCGATACGCCTCCAAGACGTCGTTACAGGGAAGCCTTCCCCTCCGATCTGGTTTCCAAGGTCTTCATGGAAGTCTGAGAGCACTGAGTCTAGTTTCCAGAACGCTTGTAATCATGAGATTTGGAGTCGTGAGCTAGGAGATATTGCAACTGCAAGGAAGACATGTCTAGAAGCCGATTTGGACCTGTGCAATGCACCTCAAAGATTACCCCTCCGGGAACCATTGAACTCCCCGGATGAAATTGAGTTCTTCAACAAAGTTTGAGTTGGTTGAGTCACCTTTCCTTTAGACTTAGAATTATGTCATTTGGAGTTGGGAGCTGAAAGTTGCATAGAACAGAAGAGAAGCATGTCAATCCAGGTTCAAAGAGCTTGTTGAGCAACAAGTGTTTGAGGAAGCCACAGGGACATTGCCACGGTAACATACAAGGCGTGGAAAACTTTTATTTTGTTCTGGATTTGGCATGGCTGTTTACCACGGCAAGCTTTAAGGTGTGGCAACAAGTGTTTAAGGAAGCAAGTTCATTCGGTTTTTGCCACGGCTTCATTGCCACGGCTAGTTGTGTAGCCATGGCAATTTCCAAACTACATAAATCGATGATATGTTCATAATTTGCATCATTTAGGTTGCATAAATCATTCCAAATCATGTTTTATTTTATGCATCTTAGGTCCTTAGGGTTTGTTTTAGAACTTAGGAGATGCATTAGGTCCCAATGAGTCTTTGCATGTTTTGAGTGTCTATCAGGTGAATATGGAGCTGAAAAGATGAATCCAGGAGGTGGAATGGTGAGCAAAGAGTGAAAAAGTGGAAAAATTGGGTCTTGGGAGATTTTCGGCAATTCTCGCTGGCCAGAAAGGTTTCACCGGCCATTTTCATGTACCGCGGGAAGCTTTACCGGCCATTTCCATGTACCGCGAATGAAGTGTATCGGCCAAAATCTCCGGGTGTGAACGAGTCTCAGAAATCGCCTGTCCGGGGAGCCTTCCGGTCCGATTCAGACGGCGGGTCCTTCATAGAAGTTGGAGAGCATTGGAGCACGGTCTCATATCAAGTGGAATCGTGGAATTCGGACGCGTGAGCAGAGAGATAAGCTAGTCGGAAGGAACCCCTATCTCGCAGGTATTCCGGACCGAGCAGATCAGTTTTGAAGGATGCGAAGGACGGTGCACTTCCACTCCGATTCAGTTTCCGGGGCCTTCATGAGAATCAGAGACATTTGAGCCTTCTTTCCAGAACATCCGAGATCAATCAATTCGGAGCTTTGAGCAGAAAGATACGGTCTCCGGAATGGACACATGTCTAGGCGCCTCTCTCTGGTCGTGTAAATGCGCTTCAAAGATGTGCCCTCCAGGAAACCTTACACTTCCCAAGCACTGAAACTTCCTTCATCAAAGTTGGAGATAAATGAGTCCTCTGTCTTCTGCAACCGGAATTACTCAATTCGGACAGGTCTCCAGGAAGTTACACTCTCCGGAATGCGAGATGGTCCAGACAGCCCAGGATGACTAAGTTAAACATGCCGCGATTTCAATGCCACGGTCCACACTTGGCCGTGGCAACTTTTGTGCACCCTCGGCCAATGACACAATATAAATGCCACGGTGTGAGGCTTGACCGTGGCAAACACACACTTGGCTGAGAGGAACTTAGCAACCGTTCGGCGATTGACACGGCCTAAATGCTACGGTGTGAGGCTTGGCCGTGGCAACATCTTGCAACCTTCGGCGATTAGCACGAGCTTAATGCCACGGTCTGGGACTTGACCGTGGCAAATGAACAAGTGGCTGGAGATAACTTCTACACAGTTTCGGCTTTTGACACAATCTCAATGCCACGGCCTGAGACTTGGCCGTGGCAAGCATATACTTGGCTGGGAAGGACTTCACATACATGCGGGTTTTGGCACGGTCTGAATGCCACGGTCTGGGGGTTTGACCGTGGCAACCTTTACATATCTTCGGCGTTTGACACGGTTAACTTGCCACGAGTCCCAGATGAAGCTTAATCAGACCGTGTCATCAAAATGAACCAAGAACACAATGATGTCTTTGACACGGTCAGGAATGCCACGGTCACACCAAGGACACACCAGACCGTGGCAAACCCTTCTTTGCCCATCAAGGCCGGGTCAGTACCCGGTTTGTTCCGGGTTGACCCGGTTCGCCCAAGCTTCCTTTATAAGGTTTTTAGACCTAATTTGTAGAAAACACTTAATCTACTTTTAGTCTTTTTTCCCCTTTTGTGAAAAACCACTTAATACACTTTGTTTTAGAGAGTTTAAATCGATTTGCAGTTTCTTTCCATCTTGTTCATCATTTCTATTCATCAAAATCAACTTCTAATCATGATTAACAACACATCTTGCAAAGGATCTAGTGTGTTGATCATGATTAGTGAGTAGTTACCTTAATGAGGTTCTAGATGTGTAGGTTAGGGTGCTAAAGTGTTAGATTAGGAGTGCTTAGGGCTAGATTCATTGGTTCATTTCTCTAAACAACTGTTCTATATGCTAGATCCTTGATAATCACTTGAGATCTAGATTCTGAGAATTTCATGCACCAAAAGTGTTTGATGAAATTCCTGAAAGAGTTGTGTTAGAGGTTTAAGTAATTTTTCATCATGGGAATGATTTGTTAAATGCTTGAATGATCATTGAGAACTGTTTATTAATGCATATTGATTCATATTTCACAAATGGGAATTTGGTTTGAAAATGGATTAGTATAGGGGGTTAATACCTTCATGAGAGGATTAACCTAGATTAGAGTTCTTAATCACTTGAATCATGTCTCATCATTGTCATTAGCATTCCTAGTTTAACACCAAAGCACCCTAACCATCTATCATGTCTAGAATCTCATGCCTCCATCATATCATATTCACACCATTTGTCATTGTCATTAGTCTTTAATCCTGTTTATGTTTATAGTTGTCTCTAGATTAATCAAAACCCACTCTTGTTTGCTTGAATTAAGAACTTGATCATATAGCTTAGTGTCTAACACCACATCTGGATTGATAAACCTCTTTGTGCTACATTGACAAGGGGATTGATAGCCCTGAGACCCTAAAAAGTCTTGTCTATCAATTGGCGCCGTTGCCAAATTGTGGTTTGATTAGCATTAAGCTCTGATCGGTTCTTGAGATCAAGTGCTTACTTTCTTGTTTTTACTGATTCCTTTCAAGTTCTGTTTGTGATTTCAGGTGTATGAACACCAGGTCTAGATCAAGAAGCTGTGGTCCTCCTTTTCCTCTAAACGACAACATCAACCTTTTGGTACCAAGGAGGAGAAGAGACAGACGTGGTAGACAAATTGATCAGACTGAGATGGCAGAACAAGGAGATCACGTGGTAGATATAGAACAACCGGTTCAAGAGCAACAGGCTCAGGGTAATAGAGCTGGTAATGGAGTTGGTCAAGGGCTTCATCAGGGTAATGTTCATCAGGAACAGGTGCACCATCAACAAGCTTATGTCCACCAAGGACAAGCTCAAGCTCATCAACAAAGGCATCAGGCCAATGTTCAGCAAGGACACCAGGTGCACCACCAACCCCACCCTTTCCAACCACAGCAAAGAAGATATGAGCAACCCCAAGTCTATGTTGGAGAGAATGACAGGGCCAATGCTCATCAGTATGGAGCTGGTATTCAGGCACCACCTGTGCAAAACAACAACTTTGAAGTGAAAGCATCATTGCTGAATATTGTCCAGAACTCAAAGTTCCATGGGTTAGCAATGGAAGATCCCTTGGAACACTTGGACCAGTTTGATAAGGTATGTGATCTGACCAAGATAAATGGAGTTTCAGAAGACAGCTTCAAGCTAAGACTATTCCCATTCAGTCTTGGTGATAAAGCTCATCAATGGGAGAAGAATCTTCCAAGAGGCTCCATTCAAACCTGGGAGCAATGCAAGCAAGCCTTCTTATCTAAGTTCTTCTCCACCTCAAGAACTGCAAAACTGAGGAACCAAATCTCTAGCTTCACTCAGCACAGCAATGAAAGTTTTGGTGAAGCATATGAGAGATTCAGGAGCTACACAAACCAATGCCCACACCATGGGTTTAGTGAGGCTTCTCTTCTCAGCACACTGTATAGGGGAGCTCTTCCCAAGATTAGAAACCAGCTGGATACTGCTTCCAATGGGAACTTTCTGGGTAAAGAGATACATGCTGCTTTAGAGCTAGTAGAGAACTTAGCATTGAGCAATGACACTTATGGTGAAGACTATGACAGATCAAATAGGTCTGAAGGTTCAAGCTCAG